TTGAATAATGTCCTCTAGGTTTTTATCATTAATCTGATGGAATTGTGTCTTATTTTTATCTTGGTTTTATGGAAATTATAGATAGACATGCACCCCTGCGTACATTTAGAGTGAAGGGACGAGACAATCCTTAGTTTTCTGCTGAATTATCTAGTCTCCTTCATGAGAGAAACAAGGCCTGGGCAAAGGCTAGGAAATCAGGCTCAGAGGTAGAATGGCTGCGTTTTAGGCAGCTAAGAAATAGCTTCACATCGCAAATCAAAAGTGCTAAGTCTAAGTATTATCTGTCAGTAACCACAAAGAACCTGAATAATCCTGGACATTTTTGGAAAGCCATAAAATCGATATCCACCGATGATATCCGTAATGAGCTACCTCCGTGCATTACCACAACATCTGGCACTACATCGGACAGGGCCACTATGTTAAATTGTTTTAATGAGCATTTTGTGTCCTGTGGCTCTCTGTTTGATTCTGTCACTAACTCTGCTTCTGTGAACACTACAGTCTGTGACTCTGAAAAACGTGTTTTGGAAAACCCTTTTAGTTTTACTCCTTTTACTGTTGATGTTGTTCGTGAAGCTTTAACCAAGTTAGATCCTAAGAAACCGGCTGGCCCGGACAACGTAGAGCCTTTCTTTTTAAAGATAGCTGCAGATTTTATTGCTTTATTTTATTTTATTTTATTGATTTTATTTGTATCTCACTACTCTTTTTAACCTCTCCCTCAGCTCAAACACAATTCCAAAATTGTGGAAGTCAGCGTATGTCCTGCCTCTACTAAAAGGTGGGGAGGCCACTTTATTAAATAATTATAGGCCCATCTCTAAATTATCAGTTCTGGCTAAGGTTCTTGAACGCAGGCCTAGTGAGTGAACAGGTAAAGGTGTTTTTATGTACAAATAACATCCTGTCTAAACATCAGTCAGGCTTCAGAAAGCAACACAGCACCATCACTGCGACAATAAAAGTGGTGAATGATGTGGCGAGTTTTTTAGATAATAAGCAGAATTGTGCAGCTCTATTTATTGACCTGTCCAAAGCGTTTGATACCGTCGATCATCGCATCTTAAAGCAGAGGCTACTCAGTATTGGCATATCCAGCGATGCAGTAGGGTGGTTTGTGAACTACCTCTCTGAAAGGTCCCAATGTGTTCATTTTGATGGGATGTCTTCTGAGTGGTTAAACATTATTAATGGTGTTCCTCAAGGTTCTGTTTTAGGTCCACTTTTATTCTCCATCTACATCAATAGTTTAGGTGAAAATGTCGATGGAGCAACCTTACATTTTTTTGCGGACGATACCGTGATGTACTGTGCAGGTCCCTCCATTAAGGAGGCTGTTGTTGAATTGCAAGCAGTTTTTAACAGCTCTCTGAACTAAAGCTTCTTTTAAATGTTGATAAAACCAAGGTAATGCTCTTTTCAAAAGCTAAAAAGACACCAGAGCCTGTTGTAGATATTGTAACTAAGCAAGGAATAAAAATTGAAGTGGTTACCTGTTACAAATACCTTGGTATCTGGCTTGATGATTGTCTCACTTTTAAACGTCATGTAAATAACCTGCTTAAAAAACTGAGAGTTAGGCTAGGTTTCTTCTACAGGAACAAGTCCTGTTTCTCGCTTGAAGCCAGGAAAAGGCTAGTCACTGTGACCTTTTTACCTGTGCTGGACTATGGTGATTTGATTTATATGAATGCACCTGCTAATTGCCTGGTCAAGTTAGATGCTGCGTATCACAGCGCACTGAGATTTGTGACAAACTGTAAAGCATTAACCCATCACTGTACCCTGTATGCAAGGGCTGGTTTGCCTTCGCTAACTGTACGGAGGCTCAGTCACTGGTACATTTTTATATACAAAGCCATGTTAGGGAAACTTCCATCCTACATCTGCTCCCTGATCTCACGGTGAATTGTAAGTGGCTACTGACATGGAATCACTGCTAAATTTGATAAACTCACACAAACGTTTGAGCACTTCCTGTTTCTAAGCTGATTCACCGCTCTTAATCTATTACCTATCAACACAGATATTGGCAAAGCTACTGGCAGGCAGGGCCCTGGCATGTCCTGGAAAGAGTTGAGAGTGCCTTACGCCCTTGAGCCTGGACCCAGCACATATCAGTAAGAGTTTGTTGCATTTTGTACACACACATCCTTTTCAGGCTTCGGAGACTGCAGATGCTTTCTTGAAGGGAGGGACCCCTTACAGGGTAGGTCAATTGCCTACAGGGACCCCTGTAGATAATTGACAAGGTTCGGACTCGGACTCTCTCCAAGTTAGCCTGTAGGTGCAGTCTTTGAGGTAGGAGGTGAGGAGGGAAAGTGCAGAGCCTGAAACTCCAAGTTATTGGAGAGTGTGAAGGAGGATCTGATGGATCTGATTCACCGTGTCGAAGGCTGCAGGCAACACTCACAGCAAGGGGACGGAGAATGAGACGAGTTGATGTTATGATTGTGTATTTCTGTCTGAACGGACCAATGATTAGACCAATGATTAGAACTGACTGCGTGTTGTTTACGACCCTGTTCATCATAACACATAGAGTTAGGCTTAACTTTGCACTCTTTCTGGCTTGTGAAGCAACTTTTGACCCCTTGTCACAGGCTAAATATCTTTATATTGCTTCATATTGCTGCTATTGCTGCAGAAAAGATAATAAGCAGTTCAAGATAAACTTTTGTTAAAATAAAATTGTTGAGTGTTATACTTCCCCAATATGTAGATGTAACCTGTAAAGGAACATTTAATCTGTCTGTTTTTCTCAAAACAGTGACAGGAGTATTGTGTGCTTCTGAAATGTTTTCATTTTTAATAATTCATTAGACACCTAAGGGAGTAGAAGTCAGATATTCAGAGTAAAAGAAAGATGAGAGAAAAGTCTGTAACAAATTAAACAAAATGTTGTTCTATTTCATGTTCAGTTACAGCTACATAAATCAGTAGCAGCTACTCAAAACCTTACAAATGTAATGCTTTTATAAAAAGATATACATTGATATTGAGCAGAATTTAGTTAAGCCCTCCATGCAGTCCCAGTTTCTCATGAGACTCCTTTGGAAAATATATTGCCCACCCCGTTCTGGACCCCTATGTTAGGAGTTAAATGAATTACCATAAACGTACAAAGTTGATTTGGTTGAAGGCTGTGTGATTTGCAGTTTTGGCAGCTTTCATAAGTTCTCATTAAATGTTAAAGTTCTGTTTTAAATAATACTTTACCTGGACTGACAGGAAATATGGGATATGCAACAAAAATCCCCAGGCAAAGAAAACTGCTGAGTTTTGCAGAGTTGCATACTGTATGATAAACATTATAACTACAATAAAAAAGTTGAAATATGGTATATTGTTTTGTCTGGAGGAGAGTAAGCAGAGCAACTCCACATTCATTGACCATATCTGTCTCTGTCAGAACCTCACAGCCTGACAGCTCTGGCAGACCGACCTTCCCGGGCAGATGGCGGTCAGAGATGCCTTCTGAACATCATGAGAGCCAGAGAAGCGGCACTAATGGAGGGCATGGTCTGGTGGCCTACTGTCTGAGCCAACTGTTATTCTAGGTGCTGGGACTCGGCTTTCTGCCGTACAGTTGCCAAGTCATTCAGCATGGGCTGGCGAGTTTTGTTGTTGTTGTTTTTATCAGTCTACGTATGTAGTTGGCAATTATGCGTGACCTTTTGATAGTCTGGAATTGGTTTTATGACCTGAAGTGACACTGTGCTCAAAGAAATGTTTTCTCCCATTTGTATATTTTTCTACAGTAAAAAGATCACTTTCCCAAAACAAAATTATGTATCAGTACCTAGAGAAACATAGTAAGTTATTAATGTATTCAAGTTACATAGCATAATATTTAATAATAATAAATGATTCTGCTGCATATTGTTAGGTAAAAGGCACATTTTCCCACTTGCTCTTCATAGATGACAATGCCATGCAATTTTGGCATTGCTCAAAAATTGCTGTACCTGGACAATTGCTCTCAAAATAAGAGGCTTACCTTGAGGGAGCTTCACTTTTCTGTAAATGTAGGGCTGGGAAAGTCGGCACCAAGTGTTTGAGCTCTGTATTGCTTCTATTGTATGTGTCTGCTATATATTTAGAACAAGAAACGTAATTGCAACTGTAGTAAAAGTAACATTTTCTATCATTTGCATCTCATTTTAAATGGAGCACTACAATTATTTGACAGCCTCAATTTGAGGGCAGAATAAATTGGGTCTCGCTTATTTCTATAGATGATATGACGCAAGAATCAATGCTCACTAACACAACCTCACTTGACCGAAGGCTGCCAGAAAAACTTCATCTCAACCCAGACACTCAGTGCTCTCCTATTGAGCTGCCAGTATGTGTTGGATATGCCTTCTGTCTGGATGTGTGGATTTCACATACAAGTATGTTGAACATTCTATATTAAATAGCAAACAATCTCAACTTTGACCTGTAGACACATGTCTGATTGTTATCGACGTCATCATCCAGACACAGTTTTGTGTCTCCCTCAACATTTGCACAACTATAAACATTATAATTGAACCAAATCTAAGGGTCAGTCTTTTAAACTATCCCATAAGATCCTTTACTATATTCATTTTTCCTTAGAAATCTCCTCTACTTACTTACTTCGTCTACAACTTTGCTCAGCCTTGAATCACATTTCAGCCAGGGAGAGGAAATGGTTCTCTATTGCCCTCAGTGTTCACTCAACAATATCCCATCTCAATAATAATATATGTGTTTTTCGTTTTTTTTTGTCTATGTCAAAGTTGTTGTTCATGCATGCTTTCACTGCCATGACAGCGGAAAGTGTCTGCCATGAGAAAGGTCAATAAGCCCGATAATAAGTGTTATAGTCAGAAGAAGAACAACAGACATAGTTTATCACCCCAAGAGAAAACTGGTTTAGGTTTCACAATGAGCTTTTTTGGCAGGAGAAGCCGAGGCAAAACGACCAACCCCCAACCCCAACACACACTCCCCTCACATACACCCAATGTCCTTCCAACAGTTTGACTCCATAACAAGAACAACACCAAGCCTCCACACCATTTCAAGACTCTTCTGTTTGCTGCTCTACACCCACCATGAAGGCAAGTAGATGTTACACTCAATAACAATTACAAACACATGTTTCACATTTCTGCAAAACCTCTGACTTATATAACTGAGAACAGATTTTTGAGTTGTAGTATTTTCACTTTTACTGTCTTCTTTTTACTACTGCGACATTTTCTGCCCGCAACTTATTCTCTTGTCTTTGTATCTCATTCTGTCTTCTCTTTTCTCTTGTTCTCTTCTTTTTTTCTTCAGAGAATTACTCAACTTCTTTTTGCAGCCTTGCCATGGCTGCTATTCCAGGTCATTTCAAAGGGGTGAATCTGTTTTTGCTTACGGTTTCAACATCAAAAACAAAGGAACAAAATTACAAATATACAATTACTTTTTGGTTTTGTTTAATTTATAGAATTACAAATGTTATTCCTTAGGTTTTGTGAACAAAGAGTTAATTGCCAGTGGGGGCCTTATGGTGAATGGTCAGAGTGTGATGGCTGCACCAAATTACAGGTAAAAGGATTCATTTGTAGTATTGACTTGTGCACTTCTCAGTTTGTTAATTACCTTAAGAAGATAAAATATCACATCATATAGAATTTGGGTAAAATATACATTTTACCAACAAGACTGCTCAATTATATTTTAAATGTATTCATTTTGAGTATATTTTCTTATTTTCTAATCTTTGCAACATTGTGGTATGTTTCAGACAAGGAGTCGAGCTATGGCAGTACACACTCAGTTTGGAGGGAACCCATGTGATGGGGATCGCAGCGAGACCAGAGCCTGTGAAACGACGCAAGGCTGCCCTCTGGAGGAGGGATGTGGGGACAGGTTTCGCTGTCGTTCAGGTTTGAAATTACAGTAAAGTTCTCCTATTATGCTATTTTTAGGCATATATTATAGGTGTCAGATATATACAAAACATGTCTATGAAGTGTTTTGCTCAAAATACCAAACAGATCACCCATTCTAGCCATGCCTCATACCCCTCTATTTCAGCCCTGTTAGAGAAGTGCTGATTCTGGGTTTAACGCTTTGAAAAAAGAAAAGAAAAAGAGGGTGGGGGGGGGGGGGGAGCTTATGCTGAGTATCTGATCAGGAGAATTCTATCCAGATACAGCTACATGCTGCCGTGATTAAACGCCATATCATGTTAAAAACCACATCAAGGATTATTTTTGACAGTATGGAACTCAAATGCTTTTTCTCTTGCGGGTTTACCACAAAGTGGGTGAGTACCTTTATACCAAGGTTGTTGACACATACTCTCTCCAGTACAGGTTAGCTCTGAGTGTTAGCGATGCTTGCTAGTGCAAACAAAGACCATATACGTCCAAAACAGTCGGGCATTGTTTCTGATAGCGACGTTTCTGATAGGGCCGTGGTTCCACAGTTCCGATATTACGTCATATCGGCAGGAAATCTGGATCAGTTTGTCACGATCTTGGAAACACAAGGTATTGGACTCAAATGCACGACCCAGGAGACAGAGGTAAAGTATGAGTAAGATACTTTATTCCAAAAACAGGATAATAAATAAGGATCGACACTCTGGATGAGGTGACAAAAAAGGTTCAAAAAGGCACAAAAGAAAATCGCTCACTAAGTGAGTAACAAACTTACAAAATAATTCGAGAAGATAAATCAGACTTGAGACAAGGTGAGTAATAGAGACAGGACAAGACGAACTGACACAAAACAAGGGGAGACTGGGGAATTTAAACAAGACGTGGGAACAATCAGGGGCGGCGCTGGCGCTGATGAGAGCGGGAGACACACACGGATAGGGAGTCAAGAGCCCTGGAAAGAAACATAACAGGTGAGTACCAAAATAAAACAGGAAGTGGGAGACAAGACAAAAAATAAAAACATGAAGCATGACTAAATTCAACATTTTTGACGGGACACAACACAATTCCGTTGTACCCCCGTTTTTAGAGATTTCGGCAAGGAGGAATAGAGAGAGGGTTTTGTTTTCTGACACTTTGTGAGTTCTCTTACACACCCGGGACACATATTTATGTAGAAAAGACATACACAAGCTAATTTTGCATGATAGCTAGACCTTTAAACTGCTCACTGCTATAATCTTACATACTTAAATACATGGGCGTCGCAGCCATTATATGAAAGTGGGACAAGTCCCCCCCACCTTTTAAAATGATTAGTTTTAGACCCCCCCCCACTTTTACCATGTGGAAAGTCCGTGCATCGGTCTGTCCACTCGCCACTCGTTGTAGAGCGCTGTGTCAGTGCTTCATTATCAAATCCATTCCACTTGCTTATTGAGAGAATGTCCAAATCAATGAAACTCCGTACCATGTTTTCACTGCTACTTTGTACAAAGGCAGATTCTCAGAGCCGTACACATGCTGCGTGTTTTGTGTTGCTGTGTCTTTAGTTGTAAAATTATGCGCGCCACAGTTCTCATTCATAACACTCCGTTCGATGTCTCACTATGGGATGTGCCTCATTGCGGAGCAAACAGAAGCATCAATCTCATTACGCCAATCCTGATTGGCTGGTGATCTTGACGTCAGCGTCAGGGAATCACCCCCTATAAGTAGCTTGCGCTACGTCGCATGCGTCATTCAAAATAAGCACCTCTTCTCGCTTCACCATAGCAAGGAGGGCCGTCTGGTGAGACATCTCACTACATGTTACTCTGAGAACTGGGGTTACGTAAGTAACCTATAGTTCTCATTCATAACACTCCGTTCGATGTCTCACTATGGGATATTGTAGCTCCCGTATTGCCAGACGAGCTTATCTCGAAATTCACCAAACCAACCAGAACTTAACAGGTAGAGCTCTGACTCAACAAGGTGCCCAGCACTGCTCGGGCCACACTAGGAGCAGAGACGTCTAGCCTGTAAAAGCGGACAAAAGTGAGCGGCGAGGACCAGTTCGCTGCTGCACAAATGTCTTGGATGGAAACACCCTTGAACAAAGTCCAGGATGTAGCCAGACCACGAGTCGAATGAGCACGCAGACCCGAAGGTGCCTGCAAACCCTGACTCGTATAGGCCAAAGCAATTGCCTCTACAATCCAGTGGGAGACCCGTTGCTTAGTAACGGGCTTGCCCTTCTGAGGGTTAGCCCAGGACACAAAGAGTTGGTCATTATGACAAAACTCTTTTGATCTGTCCATATAGGTGCGTAAAGCACGGACTGGACACAGCAAATCCGGCTGCTGTTCCCCGGAGGAACACAGCGGCGGATTAAATGCCTCAATGTCAATTGGGGTACATGAACCAACCACCTTAGGTATAAAGGCAGGGTTGGGCTTCAACAACACTCTCGTTTGCCCTGGGGCGAACTGAGTGGATGAAGGATGTACAGATAGCGCATGAATGTCACTGACTCGCTTGGCTGATGCCAGGGCCAGTAACAGCACTGTCTTGAGTGACAAGTGCTTCATGTCAGCTTCTTCAAGGGGTTCAAATGGGGTTAGAGTGAGCCCATCTAAAACCACTGCCAAGTCCCATAAGGGCACCAGTGACCTGGAAACAGGGAGGAGCCTGCGAGCTTTAAGATGCGATGATCGACGGTATCAAACGCTTTGGAAAGGTCAATAAATAGAGCTGTACAACTCTGCTTATTGTCTAAAATACTCGTAATGTCATTCACCACTTTCATTGTGGCAGTGATGGTGCTATGTTGCTTTCTGAAGCCTGACTGATGTTTAGACAGGATATCATTTTTACATAAAAACTCCTTTACCTGTTCACTCTCTAAGCGTTCAAGAACCTTCGCCAGAACTGACAATTTAGAGATTGGCCTATAGTTATTTAAAATAGTTGCCTCCCCTCCTTTTAGTAAAGGCAAGACATAAGCTGACTTCCATACTTTTGGAATTGCATTTGTGCTGAGGGAGAGGTTAAAAGAGTAGTAAGAGGAAGAGCAATAAAATCTGCAGCTATCTTTAAAAAGAAAGGTTCTACGTTGTCCGGGCCAGCCGGTTTCTTAGGATCTAGCTTAGATAAGGCTTCATGAACAACATTGACAGTAAAAGGAGTAAAACTGAAAGGGTTTTCCAAACCACATTATTCAGAGTCACGGATTGGGGTGTTCACAGAAGCAGAGTTAGTCACAGAATCAAACATAGAACCGCAGGACACAAAATGCTCATTAAAGCAATTTAGCATAGTAGCCCTGTCCGATATAGAGCCAGATGCTGTGGTAAGGCACGGAGGTAGCTCATTACGGATCTCACCGGTGGATATCGATTTTTATTGCTTTCCAAAATTTCCTTGGATTATTTAGGTTTTCTGTGGTAACTGACAAATAGTACTTCGACTTTGCACTTTTGACATTTGAAGTGAAGCTATTCCTTAGCTGCCTAAAACGCAGCCACTCTACCTCTGAGCCTGATTGCCTAGCCTTTGCCCAGGCCGTGTTTCTCTCATGAAGGAGACTAAACAGCTCAGCAGAAAACCAAGGATTGTCTCGTCCCTTTACTCTAAATTTACGCAGGGGTGCATGTCTATCAATGATCTCCATAAAACCAAGATAAAAATAAGACCATGCGGTTTCCACATCAGCACACAGATCGATTTTACCCCAATCAAAATCAAACAGATCATGCACAAAACCCTGCTCAACAAAATGTTTTTTGTCTCTCTTAATGATAATGCGAGGTTTAACCTTTTGGACCTTAGTGTCCCTAATTGTGGCTACAACACAGTGATCGCTCAGATCATTTGCAAAAAGGACTATCTGAGGGTTTAGATAGTTAACTTTAGTCTAAGTAGTGGGTCTCAAACGGTTTGGTAACACAAAAATACAGTTTAAAAAAGGGAGTGATTTGTAAAATATGCATAAAGAAAAAGTCAATCTGTTTACAGTTCTGTTTCACATGGGTGTTGATGAGAGATGTATCCATAGATCTCCTAACTTTGCTCTCAAAATGCACCAGATTGATGCTTTTAACTTCAATATTTAAAAAAGAATCTTCCCGGGGGAGCATGCCCACACCACCTGCCCACACCCCCTGTCAAATTGTCCCACCCACATTGAGGATGCTTCCTACGCCCATGATTAAATAACAATCACTGAGCCGTCCGCATGTCTTCTGACTCACAGGGCAGTGCATAAATCGGGCTCTGCTGTGTAACGGAGATCAGGACTGTGAGGAAGATGGACACGATGAACAGGTCTGTGTCGTTGAAAAATACATTACATGTGGGATGTCAGTTCCTCCGCCTAACATCAAGGACCTAGGACTCGGGTATGGGACACATTGTTTGAACACACTCACACAAACAGGTACGATGTGCTGTGTAATGGAGACTTTCATTGCTCCTGCAGGTTTGATGTGGTGTCAGGGAAGCGGAGGGGCAGTGTCATCAACACAGTGAGCTTTGGGGGGCAGTGCCGCAAGATCTACAGCGGAGTTCATAAAACTTTGTACAGACTGCCCCTTAGTACCATCCAGTACAGCTTCTTGGTAAGTCACTCTGGAAACACATACAGTGGCAAATTTGGCAATTATTATTGTAAAGGGGCCCTGTGTTGATTGTTCATGAATTCCACTGTTAACAGTCAACTTTATAATACATAGATCTAGATCTAGACTATAACTTTTCAGCCTTTTTATTTTGATCTTTGCATTAGTTGTGAGTATTGCAACATGTTCTTCTTTCTTTTTGGTAATTAAACCAATCGCTGTTAAAGTTAAGGAAAGATTGTGGCTATGTTTGAAACATTGCTGTCAATGACTTGAGGATCTTTCACAGAGCTGTATCTCTGGTGTCAAAGTCATTAGGTTAGTTGACTTTAGTCAGCTACCATGGAGCCATTCGTCTGTTATTGTGTGTGTATCTGTCTTTTTGTTAATGATGGAAAACTAAAGGTAAAATAATAACTCTGCAACACAACTTGTGGTCAAAATCTCCACAGGGTACCTTTTAAATATCCAACATCTAATTTTTGTGAAAAATGCAGAACATTTCTCGATTTAAGATGTTAAATTAACATTGTGAAACCTCTGCTGTCAGGTCAAAGCTCAAAATGACTTCAGTGATGAGACGTTCACCAGTAAATGGCACTATGCAAAGGACATTATCAATAGAGAGAAAGTGACCGGGACAACGGAAGGATTTAGCAACTATGACTTTCATGAGACACATGACACGGCTCAGGTGTGTACAAACCTGCATATCGTCACTGTATATTTGATTAAGTATTAGATTGGTAAAGGCAAAACAAATGAAATGTAACTTTCTCATTGATTTTTTGCTCCTTCTAGAAACAAAAGCTTTTGATTTTAAAGAGTGACATAGAGGTGACTCAGTTCCAGAGTAACTCCCCTCAGTACCTCCCATTATCTGAGGAGTTTTGGAAGACACTGGTTAAACTCCCATCAGTCTACGACTACGCTGCATACAGGAATGTGTTGGAGAGGTTTGGAACACACTACCTGTCTGCAGGAAGCCTCGGAGGCTCATTCAAGGTCATCGCAAAGATTGATGAAGAAACTGAGAAATTGATGGGTGAAGATTAATTAATCATCAGCAGCTTCTTGGCAGGCCTAAATTAAAGAACAGTGAATCTCCAGGAACCAGACAGCATCAGCTTGTCATTTTTTTTAAATATTCATGATGGAATATGTAGGGAAAAAAGGTACCTTTTACCTAACATGCTGGTGTTCACATTAAGATTTCTTCTGATGTTTGCTGGTTTGCGTTTTAACATTATAAAAGTATTATAAGAACTAGCCCTTGTTGTTATAAACAACATTTTCAATATATATTCTATGGTGTATTTCTATGTGTCTATTTTTTCAAGAGTTAGTTATCAGATTTCATTTGAAAATGTGAAAGCCAATTTATTTTTTCATCCCTGAAATGTCATGTTATGTCACTATGCTTCCTCATTTAGAAATGAAATAGCAATTATTTTTTAAACGCAACTTAACACATATGATATTTACAGTCACACAGGATTTCCAAATCCACATGACCCTTTTAACGTTCTGTGGGTACATTTAACTGGGAAAACTAGTTGGATGAAACATTAATTAGTATTATGAATGAATCTATCCAGTGTGGTTAATATATGACACTTACTTTGAATTGTCTTTTTCCTTTGATTTACCTAAGTCAGTGAAAGCTCTCATTATGATGAATGTGCAAGGACTAAACGCTGGGTTTTTATATTCCCCATCACCCATGTGTCCTGCAAGAGTGGCCAAAGTCCAACACGATCAACATCTGGTGAGCTTTTAATGTTACTACAACAAACATAACAGCACATGAAATAACTTTACATTCTGAATCTTTCTGTCATTCTTAATATCTGAATTTCTTTGTAGACATTACTAGGAGGTTAAACTTCCAAAAAGTGGATGTGCAAGGAGGAGGCAGCCAACAAAAAGCTGCCCTTTTGCTCATACAGCCGTCTTCTCCTGACAGGAACTGGGAAGTGTACTCAAACTGGGCCGAGTCTGTCGGGTCATTTCCACATGTTACGAAACAAACGGTGAGGAAAAGTCAAATTAATGTAATGTTAGATTTACTTCTGTTTATTTTAGTGTATCATCTTATCGAATAATACAACCCCTCTGTCCCTCTGGTTCTTGTAGCTGCGGCCCCTGTCAGAGCTGGTGAAGGAGGTCCAGTGTGCCGGGGCGAAGAGGCTGTACCTCCGTAGGGCCATAGAGCAGTACCTCAGTGAGAGCCACACCTGCCACTGTCGGCCCTGCAGAAACAATGGCATGGTTGTCATGGATGGAGATGAGTGCAAATGCATCTGTAAGCATGGCACATCAGGAGTGGCCTGTGAGGAGGGAACTGAAGCCGAGGGTCAGCCGGGTGGGTGTTACATTTCAGACACATACTTTACTCCTGCTTTGGTCTTGGTTGAGTTGATTTGATGTGTTAGTAAGGGAGTCACCCTTCATCGGATAATATCACATACACTGTATTACATTTCTGAATGTAATTTAATTAATTTAACTCCTTTATTGTCATTGTACAGGTACAACTAAATTGATACTAAATATATATCAACAGACAATACAATTAAAACGACATGCAGTTCTAATCACAGTGTTCAATAACATACAGGTAGTGAAATTAAATTAATTAAATACAGAAATAAATATGTGTTCTGTTTCTACTCGTTAGGGGTGATTGACGGTATTTGGGCCTGCTGGTCTGCCTGGTCGTCGTGCTCTGGGGTCAAAAGGTCAAGAAGTCGCTCCTGCTCTAATCCCGCTCCTCAGAACGCTGGACAACAATGTATCGGAGAACCCACTGAGACATCCAACTGTGAAGACCAAGACATGCAATACTTAAGGTCAGAGCTAGACGTTTTTTGTTTGCAAATATCACATTTTCAATAAGAGGTGGTTTCTAATAGATGTCATCAATATGCAGCAATAAATCATGCTATAAACTGTTTTTCACAGAACTATGGAGCCTCAGTGCTTTGACCAAACTCTCCCAGCAAGCCAGACCTGTGGAACACCGCCTGCTCTGATCAATGGCTACATACTGGTAAATATTAAGCCAAACTTGAACTTTTTCTTACATTTAATATTTTGCATTGGTTATTGTTTTTTTAGTCCCTAATTTCTGTTATTTTTTAAGAGATTTCTGACCAGAAATCTGAACTGAAACATGGAACTGAATCACCTTTTTGTAACCCAAATGTTTCACAGGTCCCTAAGGACATCTACCTTGTGGGTAGTAAGGTTGACTACACCTGCACAGAAGGATTATATCTTGTTGGTTTTGGCACTATTGAATGCACTGCTAGTCAAACCTGGTCTGCGAAGCCTGGACCGTGCACAAGTGAGCAAGCATAACTAGTGTTCAACATTACGATCACAATGTATTACAATTGTACTGTGTTTAACTCTACATTTCCCCCAAGATGCTAGGTGCACCATAGATTCCCTTGATGAGGACGTCATTGCCTCTCCTCAACAAGAGGTCTACGGCATTGGGGAGTCAGTCACTTTGTCTTGTCCAGAAGGCAGACAGCTAATAGGAGAAGCAACTCTTATGTGTGACCCCAGTCTGAATTTTTCACCAGACCCAGCAGACATCAAATGCAGTCCAGGTACACATTTTCATTTAAGTTTCGTAAAAATAACCTATTGACAGCGTGGAACTGATGTCTAAAACTACATGACTGCAGTTTAATGTATCCTATCACTGTGAAGTTAGTTTTAAGTTGGATATTTTGACAGACATGCAGAGGACAGTTAGCTCCCATCCAAGCCCTCGCTCTAAACCACAGGGTTGGACTAAGGGACTATCAATAAATTACACAAAACCAGGTTTATGTTCAGTATCTCCATGTTAACTTGCACATATTTGTGAAAATGATGCAAGAGAAAATAAAATGTATTTGGACTAAAATAAAGCAAATTAGGTTTCCTACTAAAAAAAGTAGCATTATTGAATACACTGTTGCCCATAAAGTTGGAATACAATATGTTTTACCTCTTGACCAAATGATTGTTTGTGTAAATAGGAATAAAAAGAGGAATGTATCTGAAAACAAAAATATTCCAACTTTAGTTATATGAAATAGAAGAAGCACTACAATCTAATATCTATCTAATAAGTCTATTTGTTATTCATAATAATATTTGGTATGGATTTAAAGCTATAATTTAAAGGCAATGGGTCAGACGACATAAAAAAAACTGAAAATATTTTCACGCTGCTACTTCCATGAATGTCTGTTGAATATCCCACCTAAAACTAACTTCATTGTGGTACCTTATTTTTGATTGATTCTTTACTGGTCCATATATTGTAATTCAATCACTGCATGCATGTAAAAGCTACTCAGTTACTAATGTAACAGAGTGTGCGATGAATCCCACAGTCACTGTGTCTCAAGCACCCACCTCTTCGCTCCAATGTCAACCCTGGGAGAAATCATCCAGAGGAAAATGTGTTTGCAAAATGCCTTTCGAATGCAGGTATGTTTACTCAGACAGCCATCACTTTGGCCATGGGATGTTTCTAAATTGGACCATTTTGGTTTATTGGTCTTATGGTTTGTATTTGATGATTGTCAACAGTTCATCTTTGGAGGTGTGCGTCACTACCTCTAGCAGAAGCCCAGTCCTTCTGAACGTGTGCAAAATGCAATCACTGCAGTGTTTGGGGAAGAACCACACGATGGCAGAGGAAAGCTCCTGCGTGTGGCCGCAGCGCATCACAACAGACTGCACCAACTGTCACATATGGGAGACCTGTGATGGTGGGGACATCTCAAAGTCATACAATCCATGATTTCACAGAGTATTTGTACTGTGTAGGCATTGATCTTATCCATCTTCACAACTTTCTTTCAGATCAAACCAATGTGTGTCGCTGTAAGGAGTCTGCAGATTGCCTAACCCCTGGATCAAATGTCTGTGTTCAAGTTGGAGAAGATGCAAGTGCAGCTTCTCAGACCATGAGCGAGTGTGAAGCAGGACAGCGGCGTTGTAAGGGAGAAAAGGTTACAGTTGTCAGTATCCTGCCTTGTGCTGCCTAACAATGCAAGAAGAGTGTCTGACCTTATGACCTTATATCTCCCCCTTCGTTTACACATTAATCCTCTATAACACAATACTCATATTTTTCCAGTAAATTAGTATTGTATCACCACATGTACAAGTACACAGTTATGCATGTAAACTGCTATAATGTAAAACAGTATATAGACAATAAATAAACAGCAAAAAACACCAGCCAAGTTGGATTTATTTTCAAAAATGAATATTGACAGAGATATGTGTATAATCATTACAGGGAAATGTTGTTGACTGTTGTTGAGTTGCATACGCAATACACTGCATAAAGTAGGTTTTAAGAGTAAAGAGTAGTTTTGTAACCTCAAGATAATCGATAAAAAACGTGCAGTTGCCTGAGATGATCTATTTTAAAAAAAGTATAGTGCTTACTTAACCAGACAGGTTTCAGCATGCCATCAAACCCCTGCTGAAAATGTGTTTTCGCCGACCGCTAGCTGCCGTCTGATGGTGTGAGTGCATGTGTTTTATATTGACAGTTCATGGTCTCAGCCAGATCCTTGATGTCTTCTCTTCACACAAACATGCTTATTGTCAGCAGATGTGTGACCATCAGTAACAGCCTGTTGAACAGAAAGGCTAGTGGGTGATTGGAAGGTGTTGAGAAATGGTCAAGAGGGAACACATGCAACTGAAATACAGGGTTTTTCTGAGTGAAAAAGGAATATTCAGGAATGCAAAGTTAGGCTTTAACAGTGTTGTGCTAGTTACTGAAAACCAGTAACGAGTTACCATTACTAGTTACTTCATTTAAAAAGTAACTCAGTTACTGTACTAGCTACTTACACCAAAAAGTAATGCGTTACTGTGGAAAGTAACGTTTTCGTTACTTGACAAAAGGGCTCCCATTAATGCCCTTATAGCCTTCATTTCAGTACTGTTATTGCATTGGAGAATAATACAATCTGTTGATCAACTTGACATGCATTATATGCAATCTGGATTGCATCGATATTAGCTGGCTTTCCATTTCTGTATATTCTTTCTCCAGGTAGTTGGAAAAAGTTTTCCGTCCCATATGCCGTGTGCCGCCCGGACATGCTATCATGCTAACTAGCTCCCTGAAAGCGGGTGACTCCACTGTAGCAATAGCCTGCATGTGTTCTACAACATACCGTGCAATGGCTTTATCGACTTTTCCCTGGCTAGCAGTCCCTTGGTTAAAATCCAGCCGCTGTTGCTTAGGTGGAGGTGGAGTGGCGTCGGCTGAGTCTCTGTGGTCTTAGCTACTAGCTTCGTCCCAGCATGTTGTTTTTGCAGATGTTTTAAGAGATTTGAATTACTGGTTTGGGCAGTAGATCGGATCTTTGACCCGCCAAGACACAACTTACATTTAACTAAAACGTTCTTTTCTTTGTGCTCGACAAAAGTGAAATAGTGAGAATATCTCCAGGTGGAGAAACTAGACTTGAGCTCCGCCGCCGCCATGATAGTCTTGTTAGTAAACAACACAAACACGCCCACAGCGCGTCTCCGCATGTGACACAGGAAGTATCTAAGTACATTTACTCAAGTACTGTACTTAAGTACAGTTCTCATCTCTGTTCGCCTGGCTGTTGACTATATAAAAAAAACTAACGCAGTAACTGAGTAACGCACCATGTAGTAACGGTAACTGAGTTACTAAATTCAAAAAGTAATGCGTTAGAGTACTAGTTACTGCCAAAAATAACGGCGTTACAGTCACACGTTACTTTGTAACGTGTTACTCCCAACACTGGGCTTTAACCATAGACTGTATATATAAAGGCTTTAACGATGAAGGATAGGAAATATACAGTCATGTGACAAAATAGAGATAAAAACAAGTTTACAAATTGATGTAGGAAAACAATGTGATAGATGCATCTACAGATTGTAAGATGCTACTGTCCTTTTACTCATCTCATAAAAAAACATGTTATTCCTAAAAGTCAACTTTTCATGAGTTAGGAAAAGAGTAAACGATATGTAGTAAACATTTGGGACAATTTGTGTTTTCTTCTATGAAAGAAACCATGCAGCCACTGATCATGCTGAGAGAATGTTGAAGTGTAACTGTAAAAAAATGTACTTTATTTCAGCAGCAAAAGTAAGTGACCAGCTCCCTTCTTAGGTTTGGTAGTTTAATCTACAACTGCAACTGCCTTTTATGGTCTAAATATGATCAGGCTTTTCTGTATCTCTATCACTCTTTGTCCTCTTGTTACCCTCCCACATAAACATGTTTACTCTACAAACAGGGTTAAGACTAGGACAATCCAAAGCAAACGGAAGAAATACAAAAATAGCAAGTAATTGTTGAGGTGTGTATCCCAAAATATGAATGATGATTAACTATATTGCAATCCATTGCATTTTTTAAGATTTTTTAAGATTTACACAGATGTTTCAGAACAGTTTGGCATTTTTGATTGTTTGTCTCCACCAAGTGGACACTTCATTGGATTACATGCAAATAAATACAAAGACTAGTTTATAAATTTCAATAACAAAAGTTTTTATTAACAATGTAAAATGACCTATATCACCTCTGACTACTGAACCTCCACCGTGCCCTAAACATTGATCACTATCATTAATAAGCAAGACCATGCTGTCTCACCTCAGACAGAGGGAGACCCTTCCTGCTTCTGCCAACTAACAGAATCTCTGCTAACCATCTCCATCCTTGAAAATAATTCAGAGAGCAGTGCGTAAAGTGTATGTGTATATACAAGTCTAATGTCTCAATGTATAGATAGATATTGTGTGCAAAGGATTTTTCTTTTTGAGTATTGTATCATATATTCCATTCTGAAGCTGGAAAAGTTTAAGTTGGATACAGGTACTTGGTTTATGGAAGACTAAATTAAGTACATTAAGAAGAAGAAACAGCAAGTAACAGAAAACAGAGACTGTAATACACAACAAACCTGTCATCTCAGCTTAGACACACGAAGGTATAACTTTGTCTAACTTAAATAATTGGATTGGCGTCTAATTATAAGTTATCACATTGTTTCTGACAAAACTGACAATTATATTCCCTTTTTTAAAACATGAATCTTCATTTCATTCACTCAGGTTTGTGGAAGTAATGAACATTGACATTATTTCAAATGACCTCTCATTCTCTTTAGCATTGGACAAGCAGATATCTGACTTCATTTACCAAAAAAGGGAAAGTTTGTTGCAAAATATCTTAAAATATATGTTCATGACTTTTGTTTTCATTACAATGCAGTTACAATTCTTCTTTGTATTACAAAATAAAATTATAAAATGGGCAGCCGTTTAAAAAAAAGAGAAAGAGACAATTTATTTGAAAATGGCAGTAATAGATTGGTGGGAGACACAAGTGGTGAAGGACAGTGGGTAATGGTGTCTTTGTTACCGCCTCCTACCCACAAAGGCGGGGCCCTTAGCTGGTTACCAGGCAACAGAGCCCAAAGAACCGCCTCTTCCTCTGTCGGACCAGAGGGTATGGAGTCAGGTTCAGCAAACTGCTGTCGTCTGGGCACAAGAACACACAGCAGAAATGTTTAAAGTTGTAATCATGTTTCTTTTTTATATTCACTCTTGATCCCAATACATCTTCTATGCTTTCGGAGCAGAAAGGGTTTCAAAGTGTCACTGCTCTATGGGGTTGAGGTGTGGGGGGGATGTGTGTGTTAGAATTAAGGTAAAGTTTGATTTGTATCTTACCTTGGTTCTTCAATGGTAAAGGCATTGTCTCCCTGAGTTTACTGAGAAGGTTTTTCATCTCTCTCATATCCCTGCAACAACACAAATGACATATTTACACTCACACACACGCCTCCCATTTTTGACGCATCGTCTAAAAATGCAACCTAAAAACCTACTTAGTAGTAAAAATGTATTATTGTATAATACAAGACTTTCTTTAATAATAATTTAAAGCACAGCACACTCTGAGACCTTCGGATGCAACTCCGGTGATATTTATATGTATTTCTATATTATATCTTATTTTAAGATTCGATTCTAAAGTTGTATTAATTGTTAAAGTTATAAAAAATGCTACATTCCATTAGCCTACATTTTTGTCTGGTTTAGAGTAAAATATTTGCATATATTTTAACTGTTGTAATAATCTAGGTTGGCATAACTCCTGTTATCTTTTTTTGAGTAAAAAAAGGTACATTTCATTTTCAAATCCAATTGAAAATGACCAACTATTACATCATTAGTGAGGTTCAAAAGAAGAACATGTGAAGTGTGATTGACTAAAACAACTTTTAACTACATACTGTATGTGTATTATTTTTAAACAAGGAGCATCTACAATTATTGACACCAAAGAAACGTAGTCACACACAGAGGGACACATTTCATTTTGTGTCTACCTATACCTTTCAATGTTCTCTATGTCATTGGCCACCAGCCAGCAGAGCTGAGGAAAGTCGGTGGGGGAGGAGGAGGTCTCCTCGAGGATGGGGATGTCCGAGCTGTCCTCCTTCTTATTGTCCCCTCCAGTGGGGCCGCAGCCATCCTTACCTAAAGCACACAGAGAGCAGCTAGCCTTTAGCATGTGGCACCACTACACGCATTAGAAAACAAGGAAAACAAGGGTGGGAACAAAATAAGAAGAGTTGACATACAATTAGCCATCAGATTACATGATAATTGTTGAACATTAGTGCTGCTTTATATCTGTAGACTAATATTCAGGTCTGTTGATCAGGTTGCTGTTGGTAGAATAGGAATGGTGGTGAAGTTTTAGATGATAATCTGTTAAATAAAACATGGTAGAAAGCTGAAAATCAATAATTACATCTGAACAGTTTCAAATCTGCCAGTGTGTGATTGTCTCCTGTTTTCTTTGTTGAGAAATCATTTTAAAAATAGAAGTAAATCATGCTGTGTATATACTAGCTAGCACACATGCATAAATACAAACATTCTAAAATCGTCTTTGTGTATTAACCTTTCCTGTGGAGCTGCAGGGAGCCCAGCAAGCAGACAGACTTGAGCATCTCAGTGATGAACATCTCGAGACAGCACTGCAGCTGGATGAAGAGCCGACAGATCTCAGGGTGGATCTCCCCGTCCTCCGGCCTGAAACGGTTCATAGTTCGAACACAGCAAGTTTGTAAGCGAGCTGGAACTGGATGAACTATGGAAACATTAAAGCGACTTAATGAAAACTAATTCAAATCATAGTTCCGTTTAGGGATAAAGTTAATGGATAGCATCTTCACGTTTCTTAGTATTTTTAACATAGTTTACTGTTGAGTTATGCATTGCTGACCTCAGTAACTTGATGTGCGTGTGCTAATCTAAACTCTTACATTTGTAGCAATTCCACTATAAAGCCCTCTATTAATGTTCAACATATAGTTTCCAAATTGCATGCAGTTACATACAAAAAGACTCTCTCCAAATCTCGTTAACCATGAGAAAAGTGAAATAGTTGATAATGGTATAGTGAATGGGGAAGAAAAATCAAAACCAAAACCCAATGCCCTTTAATATAATTACACAGAGTGAATTATTGATGTGTGGCTATTACAAGTAATACTTCCATCTTTCAACATAATATCTTCGATGCCACATCATAAGCAGCAACAAAACTATTGAGTATCACAATTGCCAAAAGCTGCCTGACGAGTTAGGCTGCTTGTGATAACTTCAATGTGATCTCTAACCTGAACAATAACTATAAATCCTAATAGCAGCAGCTATCGCCAGAAGAGGTAATAAACTCACATACATATAAAACCTTGTCCATTCTTTACCAAATTCACACTAACAGACGAGCCATGTAGTTTGCGTTATTGATTAACCTGTTTTTTGCAGCGTAAAATGTCAAAATGGCTACTGACTGGATTTGATTGGTTATTTGATAGTGTGTTCATATGTTAGTCTGATCATGTATAAATACAATGCAGTGGACAAGTTTAAACATAAGAACCTCATCTGAGTATAATTGATTTACCCAAAGCGGATCACTAGCTTTTATGAGGCACTGCAGTAGCTTTACAGCCATATAAACCTGGTGTTGAACAGATAGGTGATATTAAGGTGGTGTGATATCAAAAGGGAAAGTGACAGCGATGAAAGGTGAGAAACTTGCACCTGGTGCAAACACTTCTCACATAAATAACGTTGTTGCATTTCCCTCTTGGAAAAGATGGCTTTTCCTTCCTATCCATGGTTTGCCACAGCGATGCCTTCTAAAGTACTGTTGCTACAGCACAGCTGTCATCAATGCTATCCTGTTTATCAGCTTTCCTCTAGCACATCGGAGAGGCCCGCATCACTCAAGCAATTCAGACACAGGCTTTATTTGATTAAAGGGGAATGATCTGTGCTGTCTAATTCAAGTGCTGTAAATCTCATAGTGGAGAACGACACCAAAATGGTCTGAGAGCTTTTGGAGAAGGAGCTATAGAGTATGTGCTGGTGATGATTATGACAATCAGGGCGGTGGTGGAGAAGTTGATAGGGACTTGGCTTGGCAACCGGAAGGTCACCAGTTCAAGTCCCGGCAAGACCAAGTGCTACCGAGGTGTCCTTGAGCAAGGCACCGTTCCCTACACTGCTCTCCGGGCGCCGTTCAAAATGGCAGCACACTGCTCCTAACACAGGATGGGTCAAATGCAGAGAAACAATTTCCCCACGGGGATTAATAAAGTATATAAAAATCAAAAAAATAAATCAAATCATGTTGATGCCATTATCAGTAGGAACTTAGAGTTCTCTCTAAAGCTGCTGCATCGTCTCTATTTCTATAGCAGCAGCAGGAAATCAAGGTACGGTATTATAATTGATAGTACTTGTTTCTCTTGGAGGTATTACTGTATAGTATAATTGCAATATATTGGAAAAAGAGTATACAGAACTGCTCTGTTTCTCCAAAGATTTAAGTATGAAGTTATTAAAGCCTTGCTATGAAAAGCAACTGAGACACCCCTGTTCAAAGGATGTTGTATGATTCATGCCTCTGCATGACAGGAAACATGCAAGAAACATGCTTGCTGGCTAACCATGAGTGTGTCACACATATGTGATTCAAAGACTCCGTACATAAATGGAAAGATTTTGTAATGCATCTAAGAGACAGTGAAGGATGTGCATTCTTAAATGGCTGCAAGATGTAGCAAGTGGATTAATTATTGAGCCAGGAAATGGGTTACAGAGCAGAGAACAGCCTATAACACATTTTAAACTGAGCATTGTGAAAAATGTGGCAGACTAATATGTTATGGGAGGGCATTCAATGATCAGAGGTCTCTAATGAATGTGTATGCCTGGAATAAGGAGGAATCCAATAGTGCTCGGGCTTTGGCAAGCACCTAACACTGCAGAGCATCCTCCAACTCTCTCTTACCACTGGCATTACTTTGTCCGATTGTTATTTAAGTAAGTTTGAGATTGCTAAATCAGCTGGCATCTTAGCTTCAGTGAGGACATTCAAATCCCAAGCCTCACTTTGCCCTTCTTACACTGGCACCAATGTGGAGTAGATTATGCTCAATGGAGAGAGCAGGCCAAGTCAACAGACACGTCAGGCGTCTAGCACAGCCTCTATCTTCGACATAAACCACTATTATAGATATAACTTGTAATATTTTCTTTGGTGCATCAACTATTTCATTATTAAAGCTAAGGATCAAAGATATTCTGCACAAGAGGAAATAATAACATCCGTTTTTGAAAAGCATGATCAAATGACAATAACAGAGAGACAACCTACATACACACACAAACACACACGGTCACTCTGACAATACATTAAAGCAGAAATGCAAAAGTCCTCAACTGCACATTATTGATAGCCTACTATTATTATCTCAGATATTGACGAGGGAAGCATTCCACTTCATGCATTCAGGTTTTAGGCCCCAGCTAATGGGAAGCGGTCAGTTAGAGCATTGTTGTAATTGCTTCCTGGTAAAGCTGTCTCACTAACAATTAGAGACATCACTTAAAAACAAAAGACTAATCGCATGTTCTGTGCTCCCAAAACTCTTTATCCACTTCAAGCTCACTAGCTTCACTTTAATGGGACAGACCCTTTAGCTTTCTTCGAAGTTAAGAGGAGCATGCCTAAGTATACATGTGCCTAAAACGGGGACGCTTATGCAAATTAAATATGTGCTTTGATAAAAGTAGCTACTTTATAACTTTAGGCACAGCAGTGTGCAGAGCACCCCATTTGGTGCACTTTCAGCACCATGGATAGCGCATAGCAAGGTACTAATGTTCAGCACCGTGGACAACGTCTGTGCCAACTCACCCTGATATCAAGGAGAGACTGTGGTGAGCAGCTCGCGCCATTTCGCAGCCTTTAGTTCGGGTCTTCAGCAATTCGGCCCGTAAAGAAGGACAGTCCACAGTGATTTCGCCAATGGAGATGACCAGTTCACGGTACAGAGCCACAAGCGTGTTGAACTCTTGGACGATCTGTGATACAATTAATGAGATAATAAAATATGTTATTCCGAAAACGACTTGGTCAAGTAAGTAGGCTACCATACAAACATAACAATGCTCTTTTGGCTCCCTGTTCTTCTCATTGAAGTAAAACAATCTTTATCTTTGGCTTTCTTCTTGACTTTGACACTTAAAAAAGTGTCAGTCAAGACGGAAATGCAGAGCAGTATTATATCCAGCCTCACTATTCTGTTCCCCTCACTGAGGCAATATAATGTGTCAGCAGGTTCCCGGCTGCATGCTTCAATATAAACAGTATTTAAGAACATTTTTACATTGCACATTATGGAGTAAAAAAAACCGATTGTCGTTCAAATTGTCCACAAAGTCAGAGTGTATGATGAATGTATTGATTTTATTTGTCATTGTCCCATTATGCTAAGTTTGGTTGTTTGCACAATCTCAGATCTTGGGCTCAGGGCAAACACATTTCGTTCATTTTGTGCAATTCCTACATAGCATCCTGCTGCACTCCTGTGTATGAGGCTCCATGACGTTCACAGATGTTTGAAAGGGTAAATACATATATTTCGTGCCAACATCTGTCAAAACACGGGACCTCTGTGCAAGGATCATAGACACCTCCGTGGATAATCTTGTAATTCAGGCAATTTTGATACGAGCCAAAATCACCTGGAGCTTTGCACACTCCAAATGCAAATCACACAGTCAATCTGCACGCAGAGATGATCTGTTTGGATTCACTCCCAACAAAGCAATGTAAATGCAAAAAGCTATTTTTAGGCACCCAGCCCGGGTTACAGGCTTTTCGTTGCAGCTACTAACAGCTTTCGCCTGTGCATTCTGCCTGCACGGGATAGTCGATCGTCTTGGAACAAAGACATGTTGGGATAATAACATCACTCCTTATCAGAGGCACCATGCAGTCATTGACGTGTCGCAAACCTACCATTCTGCAGTCGGCCACGGCGCGCTGGGCTTTGCGGGTACTTTCGGTGCTCTCCCTCCTCTCTGGGTCGCGGGAAGGAGGCTTGCCGATTTGGAAGATGTTCCCGGCTGATCTGGGGCGGTTTTTGCGCCCATTCGATGCAGAACTCATGCATACACATCCACTAATAAAACAGCCCTAATACAGAACGGCTTTGTATTATTTCCCTACCAAACTCCACCACTTTCTCTGTTCCTGCCTCACTAGCCCGCACCTTACTGTTCACCTTATTATCTCCGATTACGCTGAATTCACCTTCGCCAACTGCTGGCTGGGTCAAGCCTCGTTTATTGTTATTGCTCCGTCTATCTCTTGCCTTCCTTCTCTCTAGTGTGGGAGACGAAGTAAATATGTTCCCAGACGAGCCTCAGAGCGCAGGAGAAGTACCGGATGAGCGCCTGCGACACCTCTCCGCATTGCCTTGACTGCGACGGGGCGCAAGTCACCTTCACTCCAGCAGCACACGGTGCACAGTGAAGACTTCACACCCAACCCGGAGCCCAGCTAGCTGAGTTGTTTTCTCTGACGCACCGATGTCGGAAGGAGACGATCGCATTCACGGATATTCTCCAAATGCAACCATTTTTTATGATTGCGAGTTTCCATTAAGCACCAATAAGACGGGCGATAACGATATTGTCTTCGCTGCAATACCTTCTTTTTGAGACGAAATAACACTGCCAATGTCCCGGCTGATAATTCTACAGCTCCCTACGCGACACCTAAAGCTTCTGTGTCGGGGAAAATCTGAACGCAAAGAAACAAAAACTTAATCGTCTGGTATCGTGGTGTCAATTCTGCTCCCAGCGTCTGATCCTTCGAGTGTTTCCGGCTGGTTGGGCAGGCCTGTATCTAACCTTGGAGAGGCAGAAGAAGAGGAGCAGTTGCTACAGGCCTGACGTGGCTCTGTATCTGGCAGCACTGCGCACCCAAAGGACGGAATACTAATATGGCCCATCCAGTCAAACCCCCGCCCCGAGCTGTTACCTATGTGAGCTCCTTAACAAGTGAATGCAGGCTGTTACCCACTTTTAGTAATACATACTACATAATGCATAATACAATCTGCTATGCCCTTTGTTTTGGAACTTTAAAGTGTGATTTATGGAACTCTTTTCTTTTAATGATCCCTATGTTTTAATAGTATACTTCACTTAAAAACTCAGGGTGGTTTAGTTTTATGTTATAGAGTTCACAGTGACCTAATGATTTAAAAAAAAGTTATAAATGGTATGAGTGTTTCATTGTTACATTTTAGAATATGCCTGGCAGGAATATGCCTTTAACATCTTACGTTGCTTGTTGCACTTATGTTTTCTTCCTGACCAAGAATAATCTTAAATCAAATTCAATTCATTCATGTGAAACTTGACAGGCGGACAAATACATATCACCAAAAGTATTATGTCATTCTGAAATAAGCTGCTTAAATGCACATACAGATGGAGTGCATTGTGATCAAAACTATACTCAGAGTCACAAAAACAATACTCTTTCAACATTCTTATTTTCTGTCTGCTATAAATGTTCCTGAATCCATTGGCAGCTTTCAGCAGTGCCATTTGCACTTCCTTGCTTTTTACAACCACAAAGAGGAAAGTATGCGGTAGATAATCTGAATAAATTACGAGTCCATTTCAGTGTATGGTGAGTGTTCTTTCCAAACCTGTATTACTATTTAATTGTGAATGCAGAAAAAATACTTTCAAAATGCATCTATGTAAGTGAAATACACCCACAGGCACACAGCATTAACACACAGACAGAAAGAGACACGCATGCATTTCGAGTGAGACAGGAAATGTACTGTGTGATCTTTCTGATCTTTATTTAAATATTAAATATTATTTTGTTAGTAAGTATAATGACAATTAAAGACATAAAGTGTGTCAGGAATAAAATCATTTATTTGGCTCTTACACATGATTTCATCATCAAATGTATAATCACTTAAACGGTTAAGTGTTTATGTAAACTATATCTGCTACAAAATAAATTGACTTTAAATTGACAACAATATTCTCTCCAGATGGATGCTTATTGACTTTATTCAGCGACCTCGGTCCCTTGAAAGGTGCTATATAAATATCATTTATTATTATTATTGTTGTGTTGCTTGTCAAAAATGTAAGCACTAACAGAATGTATGTCATTATGTTGAAAGTCAAACTGATGTGATGTTACACTGTTATTACCTTCCCTTCAAGCAGGAACAGGACACAATGGAGGATATAGGATTCCCAAACATCCCCGCACCATTTCCCTATTTGAATCATTTATTTATGAGACACAACAAGCTGGCACACTGCTGTTTTCCCTCCACAGCGACATCCCACCTGCTTGACATTCCCTCATTGTTTTCTCATTAAACATTATCCCTCAGTTTTACCCTTTCTCCCTATGTGAACATACCTGTCTTCTGTCTCATCCTAAATTCCTTATTGTATGATCATTCTTCAGTGTCCTCAACCTTTCCTTTTTCTATGTGTCTCCGTCATTGTTGCCAGGACTGTCAAAAGGAAGGGAAGAAGATGTAGCAAAGAAAGCAGAATATGAAGAAGCCAATAACCCAGTTGACTGAGTAAATATAAATGATGACCATGTCCATGTCAAAGCGCCAGCCTCGAGAGTCATCCTCAAAGTCCAGAGCATCCAGGCGGTAGCCTCCTCCGTGGGGGAACTGGCGTCTAGCTATGGGACTGGACTGCCTCTGGAAGCCTGGTTTGGGTGACAAATAGGTATCTAGCATCTTTCATTTAAGTGGTACTTTACCCAAAAGATATATAACTGACTTACTTTGAAAACAGTATGATTGGTGGGTAGTAAAGCCTTTCTAAGTGTACTGGGAGAAGGAGCTGGGATTCATAACAGAGTCATTTAGAAATGATAAAAGGTTTTTAAATCAACTACAATACAAGTCATTGATGTTATACAGTGCATCCCTGTTTTCCTACAGCTCTTTTGGAGGATGGTGCGACACTGCTTTAGCTCAAGATATCCTCCAAGAATTGTGCGAATAAAAAATAAATTGCATGTGTGTGGGAAAGGCAGTCACTTATACAATATAAATTACAGACAAACGCAGTATAGTTTAAAATGTGTCCTACTGTTGCTGGTATTTGCAAAAGTTGATCAATTCATCCTGAACTGAGAAAATTTCCATGGGTGATGATTCAAAAACTTGCCTCCAAAGATACGGAAGAGTTTTCGGCAGCTCGGGAGAGGCCACTTGGCACAATTTGCTTTCTGGAAGTTCTGTTTCCGGGAAAGATATTCCTTTGGGAAGAATGTTCTTGCGGTTTGGTTTAACTCTGTAAACAAGACAAGGAGACAAACTTAATATTATAAAACATCTTCTTGATAGCCTGGATGGATTAAGTTATGAGATCTGTATTAAAGATCCTGCATTATTAGACTCCTTCATATTTGTTCTTGTTCGGTTTCTGTGTGACCTTGGCATTGGTAATCACCACACAAATCTTATCTAAAGTCCTTTTCACCTAATCACTCACAAGAGCCCTTAGCGTGTCTGCGATGCTCATAACCATGGCCACTCTGCCTATTTATGGACACAGCAGTGTCCCTGCCGCTCATTTCTCCTACATACATCTAGAAGTAGGTCAAAGTGAATCACAGAACTTCATTACTTATTCATAGATTTGTCCAACTTAGACTACGTCCCATGTAATCAGTGTGCAGTGATCACAAGGTTACATAAAATAAGTATGTCACTATACAGCATAAGAGTGAAATATCATCATTACTGTACGTTATATAACATTGTTTAGTAGGGATGTTACAAATAAGATAAAGGTTTTATCTTCCATTTGTGACGCTCTTAATAAAAAGCTAGTTTTGTCATGCATTTGCAACTCATAATGAGTACACAACGTAAAGGTGTTGTTATCCTGTTTGAGTTTGTCTTCTTGTTCTGAGCGACTCATCTGGTCAGAGCTGAACTAAAGGTCTACTCTGCTCCCTGTGGGACGTCTGCAGCTGGGCCCCCGAACAATCTGCAGCTTAGATCTGTACCAATACACATATAGCTGAAATTATGCATGTATGCATCTATACAAATGTACTGTTTCATAACACTACCATGTGATATGTCATAACACTGGAAAGCTCTTATTATACTGGCATATTTCAAAGTGTCTTTTTATCCATCTAACATTACTCACTTCAGAATGCAGAGTCGTAAGTTTGAGGTGATAAGTATTTCAAATGTTGAGAATTGTACATCAAGTGCTTTCTGCCTATTAGCTCACCCTTCTGGAAGAAGACATGTGTGATGATTGTTCTGCAGAGGGGGCAGGGTGTGTTGGTGGGGCTGCCCTTAGCTAGCGTCCTCAGACAGGGTTCACAGAAGACGTGGTTGCAGGGGTGACACATGTAAGGACTGAAGAACACATCCAAACAAACGGCGCAGATTAAACCTTCTCTGTCACCGGCGCTCACATCCTCCTCGTCCTCGCTGCTGCTGCTGGATGGGTTCCCTGTTGAACTCTTGGTGCGGAGAAAAGGCAGAGAGAGAAAGGACAGATAGATGTTTAAGACAGAGGTATCCCATGCATACATTTTCTTTGTATGCAGTACCTTTGGGTATGTGAGTCGTTTTAGTGTTTCTAAAGGATCAGATTTACATGGATTGAGATTTTAAAACAGAATGATTGAGTATCAAGTAAAAGAAAAAAGGGAAAAATAATCCAGAAATATGCCGCTCTACATATGAGGTTCAGCATTTATTATCACTACAAGATGTCATTGCACCAGCTGGCAATACATATATGTCAACAGGTACTATTTTGCAGTCCTCTAGAGATTCTGTACCCTCTTCTTGATACACCCATTTTGATGAGAGTAAATTACTTTTGCAACAACCGGCACAACATAATAATATGTGTGAGGACATGAGGGTGTAAGGTGTGAGCTCAAAAGATCATAACTTCTACCTATCTACATGTATCACTTTGTACTGTAAAGCAAGAAACATTGTTTGCTAAAGAGGGACATTTGACCCAGATACCGGTACGAATTCAAACTCCATTCACTTTACAACATAAAGAGAGGTGTTGCATCTCTCCAGGTAGAGTTTAAGTATAAGGCACAGTGTGAGACTGAGTAAGATAGCACTTCGTCTTTATGTTGTACATGGCCTGTCCTCTTATCCTTTGATCTAGTCTGTACCCTTTTATTTCATAGAGCACAATACACTGCTTTATCCCTCTTATCTCCTCAGCAGTCAATTGCCCTTGATTCCAAATGCCTTAGAATTTCTGAATAAAAAACACAAATCATATAAGAGGAAGTACCAACACATGTTTAAAGAACAGTTTCTCGGGTCCCTGAAGTCCCCCGTCTCCTCCTAAGACCTGTGTTAGCAGACGCAGAGGAGTGGTGGCTGGGGCCTCTGCTTGAAAAGCCTGGGGGTGCTTCCAGAGTAATTACCCTGTTCTCACCCAGGGGGGGCCTCTGGGGACTGCAGTGTCTTACAGCCTGCCTCCCAAGGTGTGTCATTATCACAGAGGAGACAACACAGTGAGCACAGCTCCTGAGGAATCATGGCCACTGAGGCTTCTCCCTGGCAACATGTACTGTAACATGACCATTTTGTCTTGGTATCATTCAATGGAAAATAAATTCAACTTTCTGAAATAAAAGTACATTTAAAAAGATACTGAGTAAATCTCTTCCTTTTTCCAATTGTCACTTCTAACACACCACTGCACTGTGAGTTACCTTACAATAATCATTAGTATTTCATAGCAATATATTTTCCGCAGGACTCCAAGCAGCAAATAAAACTGCTTCAGTACAGCAGCCGAATTAAGTCAACCAAAGAATCAGGCACTAATTGCCACACAGGAAAGAAACCACTTCCTGTGGGAAACTGGATGACAAAAACACCTGCTCTGACCTTTGGCATACTTTGTAATGT